AATATTACAGATGGCCCCTTTTGGCTGCTAACGGACAATCACGAGGGAGTTTCCCTAGCCATGAGGCAACTCGAACAATTTTTACCACATTATAAAAGTTTAGTCCTTAAATATAAAGTAAAATTCCGTACAGCTAGAATACTGACTAATAACATAAATATAATATTTGCCGGGCATGCGGCCGTATAAATTAAATGATATGAACAAAAATAGATTACATACAAAAAATATTTATCTTCGTGGTTTGAAAGAGAAAAGGTCTTAATACGAATTCGAACTCATGTAAATGGAAAAAAACTTCTACCAATGCAAAATTAGCGAGTGTGAAGAGTACGAAAAGTTTCGACGGAGGAGATTCGGAATTAAAAAGCAATATAATCATCTAGTTTAAATTTCCATCTTCATTTACCAACACCGCACAAGGGTTAAGGCAGCGCGAGCATAAGAGAGAGGGGAGCGAATTCACTTTCGATTTTATTGTTGGCCTTGAACTTGAAATATTCTTTGTCGTCCACCTGTTCAGTGGCTATCAAACTGCTCCTGCAAGGCAAATGGCCGTTCCAAGTCCAACTGTTTCACTGTCTGCCCTTGAACTTGAAATCTAACATTCCCTCCTCACTTATCCTCTCAATGCCTTTAAGACCCTCTACGGTCTCAACCGCGACGAACAGTGGGACAATTTTAACAAACCAAGCATTTTTGACTACCTTTCAATATTTTAAAAAACCAATTTTCCCTCTCACCAGAATTCCGGGTTCCCTCGACAGCGCTTCCGTAGAGTTCTGCACCTGTTGGGAGATCACAAAAAATATTTTTCCACTAAAATGCGGCTCTTGGCCCACTGTACGGCTTCTGCATTCCGCCGTTGCACCAAAAGCAAAATTAAAAAAAAACAACAATTACTAGGCCAACATGGCGCCTCTCCTTTCGTCTCGCCTTCTCCACTCACTTCTCACTTTTCCTGATTCCTTTTTCCTTCTTGGACTCTTTTCCTTCTTTTTGTTCTGGTCCTTTCCACTCACAAGGAATCTAAACTGATTTTACCACAAACGAAAAAAACGAATAAAAAAACTCTGCGCAGAACGGCTTTCGAGCGTTTTTCCCGTCTCTTTCCTCCTTTGCACACGACCGGACTCCCCGCGATTCCCGCGCAGCTTCAGCAACGCTGCTCGCGCCCGTTGATTTTCGGCGTAAGCCAGAGACTGTTCCTCTCTCCGATCTCCGTATTCCCCTTCGCTGCGTTGAAACGTTGGGACTTAATCTGCATATGTTTAGCGGCGATTTCGATGGATTTGAGAAAGAGAGCTTTCGCCGCACTTTCGCTGAGAGTATTTTTTTATTTTAATTTCTGCCACCTAACAGCTGCTTCGGAGTGCGGAAACAAAGCGGAAATACAGCGGAAATTCAAAACTCTGTCGAAAACTGGGAAAACCAAAGCGAGGGGAGAATTTTAAACGTTGCAGGAACTTTTCTGGTCGCCGCCTCAGCCAATTGGATTTTTCTCTGCCGCCGCCGAAACTGGGCTCCACTTTCGTTGCCCACTTCTTTCGCTGGATATTAAGCGCCAAACCTGATGCAAATACAACAATTCCATTGCACCACCGCCAGATTTTAGGGACTTTTCTTTTGCCGCTTACCCAGAAGTGGATTCAGCGCCGTTTGATGAAATTATCTTTATTTTTGGCTTTTCCAGCCCCTTGTTCCCTCTTTTCCTCCTCACTGAGCTGCAGTACTCGATGATGCTCACTCGCTGACCGCTTTCTTTGGCTGCCAAATTGGGAAAGAAAGATGGTGCCCCCTTGATCTGGTTGGGAAGTCCATTTCTCCTCTCCCGGATAACCCCTCGGCCCTTCTGCAAACTGTCAGATGCCTCTTTCTCTTTAAGGGCTGCACTTCAACCTCCCTCTTATACTCCCTCTTTTGCCACAAGGCCCCATATGTAGATGGCGCCACCGTCTATCTGCCTGCCGCAAGCGCTACAACTTCGGAGCACGTCTTGTACTCCCTTTCCACCTTGTCCCAGACGGCCCTGATCTGCTCGAGTCGAACCCTACTCGTGTGGATGGACGGACCTTGGTCAGTCGGGGTGTTGAATCTGGCTTCGAACTGACCCATCCTATCGGTTATGGTCATGAATTTCACCAAGGCCTCAGCGTGAGCCCTTCTTTCAGTTGCTCTAGTGACCTGGGAAGACACAGACTGATTTCGCGGCCTTTGTGGATGGTGCAGGCGGTGGAACTTCGAGCGACGTGTGAGATTTATGTGGAGTGGTGGTTGCTAATGGCAAGCACAGAGGATTCACTCCCTGTCCCTAACTCTGGGAGACGCTTTCGCTTTAGGAACGGTCAAAAGGGGGTTTTGGTTCCTCACCGTCGCCGTTTTCCATGTTAAACTCTTGTTGGGGCCGCTGGATAAGCGCAGAAAAACAGAGTTAATCGAAAAATTATATTTATCGTTTTGGAATAAGTGCAGGGACGCTGGATTAGCGTAAATAGACGAATAATAATCGAAAGGGATGTTATCGATTCGGGAAAGTGTGAGGACGCTGGATGACGCGTAGCCCCAATTAATTTAAAAAAATTGCTAGAAATTTCAAATCAATACGAGGACGCTGGATAAAGCGTTTAAAAATACGGGGACGCTGGACAAGCGTAAAAAAGGGGTTAATCGAAAAAATTCTGTTTCTCGATTTGGAATAAATACCGGGGCGCTGGATAAAGCGTTTAAAAATTATGGTTATCGATTCGGGAAAGTGTGTACGTTGGATAACGCGTAGAAGAAATTATTCGAAAAACTGCTATCGATTTCAATTTAATACGGGGACGCTGGATGAAGCGTTTAAAAATTATGGTTATCGATTCGGGAAAGTGTGTACGCTGGATAACGCGTAGAAGAAATTAGTCGAAAAACTGCTATCGATTTCAATTTAATACGGGGACGCTGGATGACGCGTTGACAAGGATGTTCTCGATTCAACTTAATATGGGGGCGCTGGATAACGCAAAAAACAAAATTAATCGAAAAAAATGCTATCGATTTCAAAGGAATTAAAAAAAATAAAAACGTCGCAAAGGTTTTTTTATCGATTTGGGTACGAAGAGGAAAGAAAAAAATGTGTGGAATTAATTATTCGGTGACAAATAAATGTTCGTCGCAAATACTGTGGGGCTGGAAAGTGAAAAAAAGATTAATCGAAAACCAATGTGTATCGCTTTGGAAGAAATGCTTGGACGCTGGATAAAGCGTACCACAAAATAATCGGAACCGATGCACACGATTTGGAAACTATAGGGGCGCTGGATATCGCGTAGAAGAAATTAGTACACAATTGAAACCCAAAAACAAAGAAAATATGAAAAAAAAGCACCCAAGTGTGAACGACTCGTTAACAGACTAAGCCGCGTATGGTAATACATACATATGTATTTACGCAGAATAAACAAATCAAAACTATTAAAAAAAAAACGCTAATTTGTTTGTCTTGCTTCATATGGAGTTGCCTTTAACGACTCCCCCCACACAAGTAGGTCCGAAGAGAGGTCCGAAGGCGCGTTTGACGACTGCGGAATCCGTCGACAGGTCATGCGCCAGCTCCAGATAAATCGCCCTTGTCGTCAAACATGTGAACAAGGCGACCCAACGCTTCTCTCGGTGACGGGCGACAGTCACCAGCAGTGGTCCAATGTAGTCCATTCCAGTATATTTGAATGGCCATCCACCCGCTTCCAATTGATCCTCTGGAAGGGGTGCCATTATCGGCGGCATCGGCCGCGTTCGTTGCAACTTGCACTCGTTGCACGACGAGATCACCTCCTTCATCTCAGTAAGACTGTGCCTGTGTGACAGTATCACAGGCCTCCTCGCACTGTACGGCATGCACAGCGCGGCATCAATTCTGCCATAAACTCGCAGAACTCCATGTTCATCCATGTACGGCGCCAGACCTCGAATCTCACTCGAGCTGGCGACTTCCTTTCCGCGTTTCGACGACCTCATCTCGTCGGGAAACGATTCCAATTGGGCCTGCCTTACCAGCAGGTTCTCCGCGGCCTCACACTCCTTTGCAGTGAGTCCGTATTCCTTGAGCTCGCTTCTCTGTTTGCGGCACCAACGCGCAAACCTCAAGACCCAGGCTGTGGTCCTCACCAGGCGGCTGAAGCTCGAGAATCTCTGGAACGGAATGACAAATTCATTTGTGGCCACCAATGCAAACTCACTTGGCATCTCCTCGTCATCAGGTGCATCCGGACCACGCTCAGTTCCCTCCTCAGGCACTGGACAGCTGCTCGCTGGCAGCCTCAAAAATGCGGGACCGCTTAGCCACCGGGATTCCGGGCTAAGGTCCGCCTTATTCTGTAGGTACCATTCTCCACTGGGAAACTTCCGACGACTCCAAAATCTCCGCCACTCGGTTGCCAACAATCTGCTTATACCGGCGGTGGGTGCTGCCGATCCATCTCAGCACCGTTTTTGAGTCCGTCCATAATACCGTCTCGCTGATGTCCATCTTCCTGCGCCAGGCAGCAAAGCCTCTGCCTATCTCCTCCGGTAGTGGTTCGTCCCACTGGATCTTCTGCCTCCATATCTCACCCCATCCGACGCTTTTTGACTCTTCCAGGTGGTCCCAACGCCGCTTCCACGATGGGTGAGCTGGATGAGAACTGGCATAATTCGAAACCAGCCTCCGCATGTATCTCCTTCGCTCGGGTAGATACCTCAATAGCCTCGCTCTTCGCCGGAACCTCATCCTGCTGCAGCTTCCTCGCATACCCTTTGTATACGCAATCCTTAATGATCCGATCGTATTCCAGCGCCAACTGCCCGTTGCGCTTCAACTTCTTCTCTGCGTTGATCAGCCGTCTGTGCGCCATCTTGTAGCTCCGTGGCAGCACAGCGTGGTCGTCCTTCCAGAGTAGTCCCGTCTGGTAGCGACGCCCCACTTTCACCGTGGTGTATTCGAGGATCCTTTGTGCCCGCGCGTCATCGCTGGCTGCGACCTGTGGCGCGAGCTTCACACAAAAGCTTTCCATCTCGAAGTAGTCCTCCACCATCTTTTCCATCGCATCTTCCATTGACACGGCTTCCATTGACACGGCAAACCGCCTCGTCCTAAGTGGCAATCCCAATTGTCCATGGTCCAGTCCGATGAGCAACTTCGGCACCACGTTGCTGTAGGGCTTCATCGGCAGACGCGCATCCTTATGCACGCCCTGGACATCTCGCCGACATAACGTCTGCATCGGCAGACTCAAACTCGAAACGGCGTACACGTTCCTCAACGCGTGGCGAGTGGGCTTCCCAGCTCCACTTATCTCTAGACTCACCACGTTGGTGGGCTCTCTACTGGCCCTTCCTCCAAACCATTGAATGTTAAGCTGTCGATGTTCGCCTCGCACTCCCAGATCCCTCCGTAGCTCGTCATCGATCATCGTGACGGAGGATCCTTTATCTAGGAGCGCGTAGGTATCTACCTGGCGACCAGCTCCGTACAGCGTTACTAGCAGTATACGGAACAATAGTCGGCCTCCCTCGGCGTCAATGCAGCTTAAATTCCTTTGCACAGGTGCCTCCGATGGCTGCGGGGCTCTTCTCTCCAGGCTATTTCTGATGACCGCTGCGTCTGGAAACTGCTGACTGCTGGTTCCCACCGTCGTGGCGCCTGAAGCCACTTTGCTGTTCCGGCCATCTTCGCCCCCTCGTCCGCTCCATGTAGCAGACGGTGATGCATCTTGCGGCATCCGTTGATCTGGCACTCGCCGTGCACCTCGCAGTTTCTAGCTGTATGACCAATCCGTAAGCATGTGAAGCAGAGCCGATGCCTCTTCACCACGCTCCACCTTCTCGGTGGCGAAGCTCCGATGAACTCTCTACAGCTCGTCGTAGCGTATTGCCCTCCACAAATGAGACAACCTCCATGCCGATCATCCCGCTGCTCGCATCCGTTCTGGTCGACGCTCGCACGCAGGACTCGACGCCTCGGCTCCTTTCCCTCGTACACACGATGTTTCCGTACTCCTGTAGCCACGTGCTGAAGTGCGCTACAGTGGGAAAGGGCTCGATCGATGCAGCGTGGCTAGCTCTAAGCTCGCGGGCGAGTCATCAGGCTATAGATCCTATTCAACTGATTTAGTAGCTAAAAAGAGGCTGAGAAATAGATTTGAGGTGAGCGTCGCGGCAACCGTTGGCTGAACTGTTAACACTAATTTTCAGCCCACCGTGATGCTATTTTCCTCCAGAAATTTGCGAATAAAGATAGATAAGAGTATTTTCTGCGTGTGTTGGTGTCTCGGTGTTAATTAATATTTGTTTTCTCAAAAAAAAAACGATTTTCTGCCCCATTGTTGGGCGCCAGATTATTTAGAAATGATTATAATTATTTCTGTAACGATTCACGAAGGCTATGGTGGTCAATAAAGGTAAAAAGGACGCACGCGCAATCATCCGGCTGCTTCTTGTCGGCTACGTGGGGGTGGTGGTCTTGTCCTTCTACCTTAGCCTCTGCTCATTCCCTAAATAGTCATAATGAATATGTTTTGCGTGCAGCGACAAAATTCACGAGATTTGGGGGCGAAAATCAATTACGACACAGCAGAAAAATATAGGGTATACATCCTGTTCAACCTTCCAGGTGATCCTCAGATGACGTTGAGGTCACGATTCGCCCTCTTTGCCATGGCCATCATTTCCCGAGCATAAAGCACAATATTCACAGATGGCCCCTTTTGGCTGCTAACGGACAATCACGAGGGAGTTTCCCTAGCCATAGGCAACTCGAACAATTTTTACCACATTATAAAAGTTTATTCCTTAAAATATAAAATAAAATTCCGTACAGCTAGAATACTGACTAATAACATAAATATAATATTTGCCGGGCATGCGGCCGTATAAATTAAATGATATGAACAAAAATAGATTACATACAAAAAATATTTATCTTCGTGGTTTGAAAGAAAAGGTCTTAATACGAATTCGAACTCATGTAAATGGAAAAAAACTTCTACCAATGCAAAATTAGCGAGTGTGAAGAGTACGAAAAGTTTCGACGGAGGAGATTCGGAATTAAAAAGCAATATAATCATCTAGTTTAAATTTCCATCTTCATTTACCAACACCGCACAAGGGTTAAGGCAGCGCGAGCATAAGAGAGAGAGGGAGCGAATTCACTTTCGATTTTATTGTTGGCCTTGAACTTGAAATATTCTTTGTCGTCCACCTGTTCAGTGGCTATCAAACTGCTCCTGCAAGGCAAATGGCCGTTCCAAGTCCAACTGTTTCACTGTCTGCCCTTGAACTTGAAATCTAACATTCCCTCTCACTTATCCTCTCCAATGCCTTTAAGACCCTCTACGGTCTCAACCGCGACGAACAGTGGGACAATTTTAACAAACCAAGCATTTTTTGACTACCTTTCAATATTTTAAAAAAACCAATTTTCCCTCTCACCAGAATTCCGGGTTCCCTCGACGAAAGCGCTTCCGTAGAGTTCTGCACCTGTTGGGAGATCACAAAAAATATTTTTCCACTAAAATGCGGCTCTTGGCCCACTGTACGGCTTCTGCATTTCGCCGTTGCACCAAAAGCAAAATTTAAAAAAAACAACAATTACTAGGCCAACATGGCGCCTCTCCTTTCGTCTCGCCTTCTCCACTCACTTCTCACTTTTCCAGATTCCTTTTTCCTTCTTGGACTCTTTTCCTTCTTTTTGTTCTGGTCCTTTCCACTCACAAGGAATCTAAACTGATTTTACCACAAACGAAAAAACTAATAAAAAAACTCTGCGCAGACGGCTTTCGGAGCGTTTTCCCGTCTCTTTCCTCCTTTGCACACGACCGGACTCCCCGCGATTCCCGCGCAGCTTCAGCAACGCTGCTCGCGCCCGTTGATTTTCGGCGTAAGCCAGAGACTGTTCCTCTCTCCGATCTCCGTATTCCCCTTCGCTGCGTTGAAACGTTGGGACTTGATCTGCATATGTTTAGCGGCGATTTCGATGGATTTGAGAAAGAGAGCTTTCGCCGCACTTCGCTGAGAGTATTTTTTTTATTTAATTTCTGCCACCTAACAGCTGCTTCGGAGTGCGGAAACAAAGCGGAAATACAGCGGAAATTCAAAACTCTGTCGAAAACTGGGAAAACCAAAAGAAAACCCGAGGAGAATTTTTTAAACGTTGCAGGAACTTTTCTGGTCGCCGCCTCAGCCAATTGATTTTTCTCTGCCGCCGCCGAAACTGGGCTCCACTTTCGTTGCCCACTTCTTTCGCTGGATATTAAGCGCCAAACCTAATGCAAATACAACAATTCCATTGCACCACCGCCAGATTTTAGGGACTTTTCTTTTTGCCGCTTACCCAGAAGTGGATTCAGCGCCGTTTGATGAAATTATCTTTATTTTTGGCTTTTTCCAGCCCCTTGTTCCCTCTTTTCCTCCTCACTGAGCTGCAGTACTCCGATGATGCTCACTCGCTGACCGCTTTCTTTGGCTGCCAAATTGGGAAAGAAAGATGGTGCCCCCTTGATCTGGTTGGGAAGTCCATTTCTCCTCTCCGGATAACCCTCGGCCCTTCTGCAAACTGTCAGATGCCTCTTTCTCTTTAAGGGCTGCACTTCAACCTCCCTCTTATACTCCCTCTTTTGCCACAAGGCCCCATATGTAGATGGCGCCACCGTCTATCTGCCTGCCGCAAGCGCTACAACTTCGGAGCACGTCTTGTACTCCCTTTCCACCTTGTCCCAGACGGCCCTGATCTGCTCGAGTCGAACCCTACTCGTGTGGATGGACGGACCTTGGTCAGTCGGGGTGTTGAATCTGGCTTCGAACTGACCCATCCTATCGGTTATGGTCATGAATTTCACCAAGGCCTCAGCGTGAGCCCTTCTTTCAGTTGCTCTAGTGACCTGGGAAGACACGACTGATTTCGCGGCCTTTGTGGATGGTGCAGGCGGTGGAACTTCGAGCGACGTGTAGATTTATGTGGAGTGGTGGTTGCTAATGGCAAGCACAGAGGATTCACTCCCTGTCCTAACTCTGGGAGACGCTTTCGCTTTAGGAACGGTCAAAAGGGGTTTTGGTTCCTCACCGTCGCCGTTTTCCATGTTAAACTCTTGTTGGGGCCGCTGGATAAGCGCAGAAAAACAGAGTTAATCGAAAAATTATATTTATCGTTTTGGAATAAGTGCAGGGACGCTGGATTAGCGTAAATAGACGAATAATAATCGAAAGGGATGTTATCGATTCGGGAAAGTGTGAGGACGCTGGATGACGCGTAGCCCCAATTAATTTAAAAAAATTGCTAGAAATTTCAAATCAATACGAGGACGCTGGATAAAGCGTTTAAAAATACGGGGACGCTGGACAAGCGTAAAAAAAAAGGGGTTAATCGAAAAAATTCTGTTTCTCGATTTGGAATAAATACCGGGGCGCTGGATAAAGCGTTTAAAAATTATGGTTATCGATTCGGGAAAGTGTACGTTGGATAACGCGTAGAAGAAATTATTCGAAAAACTGCTATCGATTTCAATTTAATACGGGGGACGCTGGATGAAGCGTTTAAAAATTATGGTTATCGATTCGGGAAAGTGTGTAC